TGAGCTACAGTTCCCTTCAAAATAACAATAACTCACAGGTGAAATCTGCATGTGGACCTTCTTAGTTACATTAGTTACATTAAATCATAAAGATCTGGGAGCATCACAACTGTTTGTGCACATTTTTAGAAAACACAATTTAATAATATACCAACCAGGTCGGTGGGTTCGTGGATTCGCTCTTATGGTCAAAGCAGAGTAAACAGGTTGATGTGAGGACTCATCTTCATCTGAAGTAGAGAAACCCACAGTAAGCAAGAGGTTGACAGACAGACAGATAAGAAAACTTAAAATACTCATACTGACAGACCTTTTTGTCTTTGTGGTTTTCTGCTGCGGTTTGTCTTGAGGCAAAGACTCAAATTATCAGCAGCGTCTGCTGTGTCTAAAAACAAAACACCATCTATGACACACTGAGAGGATTCAAAAATAAATCAGACATCAGTCCTGCTGGGTAGCACGTCTCAACTGCCACTTTCAACATCAGGGAGAGTTACACAAAGCAACTCCTCTTATTTTTATTTAAGTGATTAACTTAATTGCAAATTATAAAAGTATAACTTTGTTTCATAAATTAAAGAGTAAATATGTACATAAAATTTAAATGCTTAAGACATAAGTTATCCATGAAGTCTTTTTGTCATCCTCACATCTTGTTATCGAAAAGAAAAATCTAAATTAAAGTCAAATAAACCTTTGTCCTTTCTCTGTTTTGTGACGACGACTGCATATGTCACACTGTTTGGGTCATCTGCAGCATCGTCTTCAGAGACTGAAACAAAAATGTTTGTGTAAAAAATCTAAACAACATGTAGATTATTAAATGCAGAAGCAGAAGGTTGGCAGGTAGACATAAGTACACATGCATAAATGTAGAACATAAACTTAACGCTTTGGTCTAGATAAAACAACTAGTAGTAATAAATAGTTATCCAAGTAGTTAAAATCAAGGGCAACATTTTCCAACTGTGTACATATTTTGGATAGGGGGGAACAAATAGTTTAAAAGGAGTCAAAGCAACCATCTACAACAAAGTAGAGAAACCATCTCTAAACATCGGAGGACGTCTGCAACACCACTTGTCCTTTCATCCCTTCTCAAGTGACTGAGCAGACGCTCACATTTGGCCTCATATCAAAAAGCCAACACCGGTCGTTCTGGTCGTTTGAGTCATCTGAGGCCAAGTCTTAACGACTGACGTTACAACAGCCAGGAGCACCAACGAACCAAGTGGTATCCATCATCTTGACAATGACCCTTCAGAGGTTAAATAGCTGGGATTCCCTGACAGCCAGTCAGAAGTGAAGAAGCCTTCTGGATGGTTAAGTTTCTATATATCAAAATGACTTGAATCACAGCACACACAGTCTCACCTATTTGATCGTCTTTGCCGGAGTTTGATGCTGCTGTTGCCATCTTTGAGGAAAAGCAGAGCACCACTGATGGATAGAAACGCAAGCACACTGACATCAGAGACACAAAAAAAGAGGAATTACATTTTTTGCTATTTCAAAAAAATATTATATATATGTGTATATATATATTCTTAAATAATTACCTACTCTCTTTGGACACAGCGGACATGATTCACACAAATGTGACTTTGCTGTTCTTTGCCATTCAATTTCTAACTATGTAAACTGTTACATGAATATCAAACCCAATGTGTTATAGGATGCACTCCTTCATAAACTTGACGGCTATAGTTGCCTTCTCTTCTAAGTGTTTTTAAGGAAGTAATTAACACGCAGCAGATTAGATGACGTTGCTTTTCTTTACCTCTGTGTTTCCTAATATGATGGAATCCCACCGCCAGCAGCCCCAGAGTTAAAATGGTGACAACTACCCACAGCAGGACGAGGACTTTAGGGGCAGCAGTGGCTTTGGGGAGGGTCTCTTCAGGAGGGGATGGAGAGATGATAGAAATTGTATTTGCTGTAAGATTACAAATTCCACCCATGAAACTTTGATTTTAAATAGAATTTTAAACCTGCAAAACAAACAGCCATAAATAAATAAAAAAATGCTACAGGAAACTGTCACTGAACTTTCACCTTTCAACTCTGTGAAGTCATGTTAGTCCAGATGGCTGTAAAGCATTTGGTAAATATTTAACTCGCTAACGGTCACAATGTTTTCAACACTGGTAAGGGTCTGACAAAATTTCTATCAAACTCCAGACAATTGAACCTTTCATAGGAACGGTGACATCACCATGACTAGTCTGCTCCCGTCCTGGCCATTCAACTAGCACAATATCATCTTTAGCTTTGTAACACTATCATGTCTCACCTCTCACAGCCAGCCAGCTTCCTGGTGACGCTCCAACACCAGGGATGCTGCACTTGTAGACGCCTTCATCAGACTTGGAAACATTGTTAATTGGCATCTCATCAGCAGGACTGCTCTCATGAGGACGTCATCTTTGTAGAAATGAGCTTTGGTGTTGGTGGAAGTTGTCTTGTGTCTGCAGCGCAGAACCACATTTTGTCCCACCAAAACAGGAAGAGCAGGAGTCTCCAGGATCACAGGACCAGCTGAACAACATGTCAAGAAATAAATAAAATGAGACACTTATGCTTGGTAAATTGATTTTTTAGAAAAGCTGAAAGACCAACAAATCTTAATGAGTAACTTATTAGCCATCTGAGTGGGGCCCTTCGTGAGGGTGGTAAATCTCCACAAGTTCCAAAGGACAGTAAAGTAAAAACACACAGTCCTGTCAACTAGAAATTAATTTTATTTACAAATATGTTTAAAATGAGTTTCAAAAGAAACAATGACACCTGGATTATGTTGTCAGTCAACATAATGATGAATTGTTGTTAATTAACATATTAATGAAAGATCATGGTCATGGTTTAATAGAAAAAACGTTCTGAGTGACTTTATGGTCCCTTTATTTCGTAAACGTATCCACAGACTAGAATTAGGATGCAAACCCGGCTCCTTTGCTTTGCTGCGATTGTCAGCACAATATAATTGTTAAAATAATTTTTTGGGAGACAGAGTTGGACCACATAAACCTTAAGAGTCTAAGCAGCATACTAAAATATCACTACAGATATGCAAGCATTCCTGAATTTTTGGATATTTCCCTCAAAATTTTTTACGCAAAATGTACAAAGAATACTAGTTATTGATTTAAAGTCTGAACTGGACCATTGAGTTTTATCAGAATCAGCTTCTATTGAAATTGCTCACAATGTGCTTACTAATACAATAATGCAATAATAAAATCAGACACAACTACAGTATAGAGAACACTTATATACACACTATAAACAAAAACAAAACAATATAGAGAGAGAATATTATCAGTTGAGTTTCATACTGGACATTATACATGTGAAACACATCAGGTAGTTTAAAATGGGCATGAAGTGACTTTAGAAATACAACAAACATACCAGCGACAGTGATGTTGGCACTGTAGCTTCTCTCTCCTCCATCAGTCTCACACCAGTATTCTCCACTGTCTCCTGAATAGCTCTTATCAATAGTGCAGGAGGACCCCGTTGGCGTCCTCTTAATGTCACATACTGGCTTAAATTCCTCAGTGTTCCTGATCCCTTTCAGTTGAGTGGAACCATCAGTCCCCTCACAATGAAAAGAGACAGACTCATATTCAAAGTGCTGCAGTCTGTCTGGAGTGATACGAAGAAAAACTGCATCTGAAACTGAGAACATAATGATGTTTGTGACAAATGGAACTAAATAAATATAAATCAAAGTACCTGCACCCTGTGACAGATACAGCTAGTCTTTTTGCAAGACACATTTGCGTGTTCACATGCAGCATTAACTAATGAAATTTAAGTTTAAATTTGAGATCAGGTTAATTTATGAAAACATATTTAACATATTAAGTTCAACCTCATGTCGATTGTGTAGATGGAAAGAATTATGTAAAAAAAGTAAAATAATTTGTAGGATTTTCTCTTTGTTGCTCACCACTTTGAGTGTGATTCTGAGCTTGTGTCTCCACCAGAATGAGTTCAAGCACCACTGAATAAAAAAAAGGAGCAAAGCTATCAGTCATGTTTGCTTTGATGTTCAGACACATAAAAGTAAAAAGAGAAACCTGAGACTCAGTACTCACTCAGTCTGAAGCAGAGAGCTGTAGCCTCCATGGTGTCTTGCTGTTGACTGAGCATCAGACTGAACTACAGCAGTTGAAAACTTCCTGTTCAGTTTGTTTCTGAGTTTGATGTAAAAGCCGGGGCCACACTCACTGTGGCTTCAACATACAGCAGTGGTTTCTCATCTTGAATTATCAACACCCACTTAGGGGGTGGGGGGTAACCATCACTGATAGCCTTTTTTAACTTTAACCTTTACATAGCACGCAGTAAGGGTGTCCTTTTTTATTCTTCTTTTCCCCCTGTCTTTGCACATCACTGCCCGTTGATTTGACAGACTGACTCTACCCAAGCTCCCAATATGTACCTGTGTTTGCAGATAGAGGTGTATGGGACCGGCAGATTGTGATGTGTGGCCACTATTCCTAGAAATTCCGTCTGTCTGCTAGCGTTCTGTTTTAATGCAGAAATTTACCTTTTCATCTTTTCATTAACTGTATCATCATTGTTAATCACATATCAAACAGAAAGCTAGATTTAAAAAAATATTCATCTCCCTTATTATCAAACAACTCTTATATACAATATTCCATAAAATACAGAGGATCATTACTTTAGAATATTATTCCCATCTCTATCAAACCTTTTTCATCATTGTCAGTATTTAAGTCATGAAAACATGAAAAAATACTTATGACATAGTTGCAATTTAAGTGTGTGTGTTTTGTGTATGTTTTATTAAACTGTTTATCATTGTTGTCATATTTTTCCAGAATAATTTTGTATGATATAAACTGAAAATCCAGAGGGGAGGTTTTGCTATAAGCCCTTGGGGGTTTCTTTCCTCTTCTGCATTATCGTTACATTGTATTTCTATATATTTTTATGTCTTTAGTGCTACAAATAAATACATAAATAAAAAATACGGTTGTGTCTGTTTAATATTCTCTCAATGATAATAATGTCCCATCCTCTGGCTGTCCTCTAACTCTAGTGTGACCAGCAACATTTCAAAGGACACCATACCCGGGGATTAGTTATAAGCAAATTAGTATCACAGGTAAAATACCTTGTTGTACACAAGCAGAATGTGATATTATAGTAATATTACGGCAGCATTTAATGTTGTAGCTGAAGCAAAATTTAACAGTCTTATATACTGTTGTGTTATTTATTCTTTAACAAAAAATGTTTCAAGCTAAACATGTTATGTTAGTAAATCTTATTGTAACTTGTACCTACAGCTTCCAAATAAATGTACATTCGTTGAAGTATGAAGTAGTAAACATTGTTTAGCTCTCAGAAAGGAAATCTATATAATACATAGCACCCTGCAGGGTGTTCAGCAGTCATCAACTAATTTCACACTTAGCCCCAGATGTCATTTTTATGTCAGATGTCCCTGTGTCTCCTATTATCTCTCTCATCCACTCACTTTATAGAAAGGCCTGAACACAAATTTCTAAAAGGTCCTGTTCTTCCTCCTGCAGTAAGACAGTCAGCCTAACAAGATGCTGACACAACAAAGAAACATTGTTATTGTTCCTGATGGTTTTGATTGCAGCGGTCATATTTTATGGTAGTGATCCGTTACCTGGCAACAGGCTCAAAGTTCAACAAAAACACTCAACATGAAACGGCCCTTCATTGTGGTTTTAATAGATGCAACATTTTGAAATATGACAGGTTTGATGTAGATGCAGGAAAATATCGGGGAACACATTTTTGCCATTTTCAATGACAGTGAAATATTCTAATTGTACGTAATATAGTAAAATGCAAAGGTCTATGGTTGAGCCTTAAATGGCATCAAGTACAACACTTTACTCACTGTCTTAAATAAATAACAAACCTTTTAAGATTTATTTACATGATAAATAAATGTATTATCATCATTAAATATGTTCCCATTCAGATGTGCAGGAAATGTGAAGCGTATGTAAAGACGTGAACATTTGTGTGGAATTGTGGTGAGATTTCTGCCTGATCAGAAGTGTTTCAGGAAGTTTTGTTTAGCCACCTCCTCCTCTCATCCAGTAAAGTCCCAAACAGTGGCCTACTGTGTGTGCAGATGGTCTAAAGGGTCCAAATCAGCAGAGGAACAACACAGGCTTATGCACAGCAGATTGTAGGACAGGTGGTTTGTTTAAAAGTATAATGAATTCTCATTAAATGATGATGTTATTCTCGAAATATTATTAAATAATATATTATTTTTTCTGGACAGGCAACACAGATATGTTGGAGAGATTCTGAATGTGCAGAAAATTTTGAACATGGGCAGAAAAACACAGGAGCTTTTAAAGATCAGGAGTTTCTAACTGAATTAAAATTAATTAATTTATCATTGAGGATAGAAAAGGTGCCATGGTCATATTTAAAGAACTTCCCCAAACAAAGACAAATATTAACATATTAATATGTTAAGTTCTGTGTGTGCAGCATGAAGGGACTACAAACTTTTATTTTGTTCTACAACCTTGTGTTGTAAAATGACAAATACACTACCTTGTAACCTTGTAAAGGTTTATCTACAGGAGAAACATTTTTAAAAGCAACACAGAATCATCCATCCATTGAAGAGGGATTTTCAGATTTATTTTACACATTCATAACCAGCATTTCCAAACAAACACTAACATACACTATATCCTGTATTCTTGACTGATTTGTGATGGACACCTCTTTAGTTCACATTAGGAGGAGCATACATGTCACGCAGCTGTAGTATGGAGGGTTCAAGATCACTTGCTGCTGCAGGCCAGGAAATTAACCTTTTGCCGCCTTTCTTGGTTACCTGTAACAGCCATTCTGCTTCCTACATGACAAAATCTAGTCAGATTTTCCACGAAATACATGCATGTGATGGTCATGCGTGCTCCCGAGCCTTTTGCTCACTGATTCTGAATTCTATACACAGCGACAACACTGCAGCTAAAGAAAAGGACAAAGGTTTATGTGCTGAATTAGTCAACATCAAAAAGGCTGGAGTCATGAGAGACCTCCACTTTGTTTTGCAACCGACACAGAGTTGGCTTTTATGCTATTGGACAGCTAAACTAACCAAAAGCATTGCCAGTTGCTTGCCAGGCAACATTTCATATAAACAATGGTAAACTAACGTGATACATTGAATGATGAATACAAAATCTTCCAGGATAATTCCAAAAAGTAGCATTTTATTTTATTTTATGTGGTGTATAACATTAGTTCAAGCTGATAAAAATATTACTGTAACGTTGCAGTGGGAGTTTATCTTACTTTACCATTTTGTGTGATGTGGTCTCCATTGTGTTGGACTCTGTTTTGGTTCCCTTATTGGTTTGTGTATGCACACAAGCACACGCTTGGGAAGGTAGTGGTTGCAATCTGAAATCTCACCGCTAATAGCCCCTGCAAATTACACTTGGCCCCTTAAAGACAAAACAAATCTGATAATCTGAACAGCATTTCTCAATAAAATGATCTAAAGAAATAATTGTCAAGGTAATCCCATATTATAATGAACAGCCCGTTTTGACCTTTAATCTGGATGAACATCTTCAAGTCAAACATTACATTTTCAGACCAACCACATAGCTTTCACGTAGATTTTACTATTTTTCTGTCTGGGATTTTGTGTTGTGACTGTACTAAATTGAAAAATCTTTCCACCTTTTGAGCCAAACTGCTTAATATCATGTCAGCGTCTGTTTCATATTACCAATAAAAGCTCTTTTGAGGTCATTTCAGGGGTTATGTATTGTTTTTCATTCTAATTATAGTACATCTACTAACAATCTGAACAGCATCTCACTTGCCCATAGAAAGTAATGAAACAAAGGAATTACCCAAAGTTTAACAGATCGTTGATTACATTGTGAGCTACAGTTCCCTTGGAGTCACTTTAATGGGGTCAAAATAACTCACAGGGGAAATCTACATGTGGACCTTCTTAGTTACATCCAGATTTAAACAGATAACGTTATATATGTTATATAACGGTGGGTGTGGGTTGAGCAGGTTGGAGGACCCAAACGCAGGACGCAAGGCAGAGGTACAGTTTAACGGGGGTTTATTGAGGGAAAACAAACAAAAGGCGAGCACACTTACTGACAGAGACAATAACAATTTGGGATCCTCACAATTGTGTGGGCACATTTTTACAAAATCCCTGAAATTTTATCTAAAAACATTTTAATACTATACAAACCAGGTCGGCAAGCTTGTGGAGTCGCACTCATGGTCAAAGCAGAGTAAACAGATTGAAGTGAGGACTCATCCTCATCTGAAGCGGAGAAACCAGCAGTAAGCAAGAGGTGGACAAGATGAACTTAAAAATACTCATTGACAGACTAAATGGGCACATTTTTGTCTTTGTGGTTTTCTGCTGTGGTTTGTCTTGGGGCAAAGACTCAAGTTATCAGCAGCGTCTTCTGTGTCTAAAAACAAAACACCATCTATGACACACTGAGAGGATTCAAAAATAATTCAGACATCAGTCCTGTTGGGCAGCACGTCTCAACTGCTCTCCCTAATGTTGAAAGTGGCAGTTGAGTTACACCAAGCAACTCCTCTTATTATTATTTAAGTGATTAACTTAATTGCAAATCATAAAAGTATAACTTTGTTTCATAAATTAAAGAGTAAATATGTACATAAAATGTAAATGCTTAAGACATAAGTTATCTGTAAAGTCTTCTTGTGTTCCTCACATCATGTTATAGAAAAGAAAAATCTAAATTAAAGTCAAACATGGAAACATGCCTGCTCTCCATGAGGACGTCAACATTGTAGAAATCAGATTTGGTGTTGGTGGAAGTTGCCTTGTGTCTGCAGCACAGAACCACATTATGACCCACCAAAACAGGAAGAGCAGGAGTCTCCAGGATCACAGAACCAGCTGAAGAACATAAAACATAAAAAATAAAATGTCAGACACTTATGCTTGGTAAATTCCTTTTTTAGAAAAGCTAAAAGACCAACAAATCTTGGTGAGTAACTTGTGGCGGCATTAGCTCAGTCAGTTAGGACTTGTCTTGGAAACCGGTGGGGCCAGGTCAAGTCCAGCACGACCCATGCCAAAGGTGCCCCCTGAGCAAGACTGCTCCCCGGGCGCTGTACGATGATGTTGCCACTGTAGCTTCTCTCTCCTCCATCAG